AAGGGTGTGGTAGTTAGGTTCTCCAGGAAGCAGATTCTGCAACAGGATTTCATGTTGATCAAGGAGTGTATTTGAGACTGACACCTGCGGAAAGGAGGAGGAAGCAGGAGTAGGCAGAGGAAGAAGCTGAGCTGTGATGCAGGCCATGCGGCTTCAGCTGACCCCACAGGCAGCTCTGAAGCTGAAATGATGACCCATTAGTTGTTCCAAGTTAGGCAGAAACCACTGGGCCTTTACATCTCCATATCCATCAGTCACTGGATGTGGCTGCTCCTTAAAGGGAAGGGAAGGCAGCAGTCTGAAGCTGAGGCAGTCCCCGAAGAAGCTGACAGCTAGAAAAACAACAGCACTCACAAAAGCTGAGCCAATGCGTCCTTCCTTGAAGGGGGATCTGGGAAGTGCCTCTCTGTGTCCATCCTGGGAGAGTATTTGGGAATGTGGAAAGACGCTGAGACTCCTATGCTAATTTTTTTTTTTTTTTATCACTCACCAAGAGAAAGGAGAAAGACTTCTGCATTCTCTAATCCAAAATTAGAGACTCTTTTGCAAAGGTCAGGATAACAGATGCTATTGAGACAACTAAGTGATCTGTTACTGGTGTCATTTTTGATGAAATTCTGCTGTGAAAACCTGGTCTGCATTGGCAACCAGAAGGACCCTCACCAATGATTCCAGTTAGGAAGGTTATTTGGAGAGGTGGCTAAGGAAGAAGAAGATCAAAGGACAGTGCTATGCTCTACTTTCAGGAAATAACCCAGAACATTGGTTAGTCCTGGGAAATCCAATTCAAGTTTGGGGAAGAGAGTGAAAATAGATGTGACTCAGCTGCCTGGGGTTGAGTTCCCAACATCCAGATCCCATGAGAGCGGAATAGGCAGGTTTCCCACCTCTAGAGAAGTTTTCCTTGGGGTCAGCCCTTTGGAATAATTGGTGACCAAGTCATCTGATCTGTTACCAGTGTGGGTCTGTCAGCCACAAATAGAATAATGGCAACCAAAGAGCAAATTGCCCCCACTGCTCATCAAACAATCAGTTCTGTGTGGAGTGGACTGCTGCCAAGGACCCAATGACTCAGGGCTTTGTGCAGAGATGGCCAGGGATCCCCCAGCCATACAATCCAGCTCTGGTGAGGAGTTCTGTGGTATAGGACCTCAAGACTCTGGTGCCAGAAACACGCATTCTTTTAAGTTTCTAAAGAAAACAGGCAATCTTTTTTTTGTTTTAAATTTTTTATTGTTATGTTAATCACCATACATTACATCATTAGTTTTAGATGTGGTGTTCCATGATTCATTGTTTGTGCATAACACCCAGTGCTCCATGCAGAACGTGCCCTCTTTAATACCCATCACCAGGCTAACCCATCCTCCCACCGCCCTCCCCTCTAGAACCCTCAGTTTGTGTTTCAGAATCCATCGCCTCTCATGGTTCATCTCTCCCTCCGATTCCCCCCCTTCATTCTTCCCCTCCTGCTATCTTTTTTTTTTTCTTAACATATATTGCATTATTTGTTTCAGAGGTACAGATCTGAGATTCAACAGTCTTGCACAATTCACAGCGCTTACCAGAGCACATACCCTCCCCAGTGTCTATCACCCAGTCACCCCGTCCCTCCCACCCCCCCCCACTCCAGCAACCCTGTTTGTTTCCTGAGATTAAGAATTCCTCATATCAGTGAGGTCATATGATACATGTCTTTCTCTGTTTGACTTATTTCGCTCAGCATAATACCCTCCAGTTCCATCCACATCATTGCAAATGGCAAGATCTCATTCCTTTTGATGGCTGCATAATATTCCATTGTATATATATACCACTTCTTTATCCATTCATCTGTCGATGGACATCTTGGCTCTTTCCACAGTTTGGCTATTGTGGACATTGCTGCTATAAACATCGGGGTGCACGTACCCCTTTGGATCCCTACATTTGTATCTTTGGGGTAAATACCCAGTAGTGCAATTGCTGGATCATATGGTAGCTCTATTTTCAACTTTTTGAGGAACCTCCATACTGTTTTCCAGAGTGGCTGCACCAGCTTGCATTCCCACCAACAGTGTAGGAGGGTTCCCCTTTCTCCGCATCCCCGCCAACATCTGTCATAAGAAAATAGACAATCTTGAGCAAACAGTTCCCTGCTGAGAAACTAACTCTGGCCATATAGAAGATAAACCATGTGAAAAGGTCAGAAAATGGGAGCGTCCTGGATATAACAAGAGTATAGATTCATATGAAACTACTGGCACAGCTGCTAGTGAGATGCATAGACCTTGAGCTAGAGGTTTAGAGAAAGCAAGGAGCTACCTAATCACATTTCTCCCCAGTGTTGAGGGGTGTGTGTGTGCGTGTGTGTGTGTGTGTGTGTTTGGAGGTATGCAAATCAATCTCCCTCTGGTTCTCTCAAAGGGCGGCTGTTTTCTGTTCCCTAGCCCTCTGGGTGGAGGCGGGATGGGTTACCTTCTTTCTCACTGCTATTTATAAACCTTTCTCTCTCCTTTTTCTTGGCTTCACTCCTCTCTTTGAATCTGATGTTGTTAGACCATACCACTCACTGCTTTCCAAGTTATTCTCCTCTACCAACCTCCAGGTCTTTTCTTGAAATTCCTTGAAGACTATTGTTCCTGGTTCTCACCAACACTATTCTGGTCATATATTTTGGTGATTTTGATAACCTTGGGAACAGTCCATCCAATGCTTTGGCCCCTCATTTCTATGACCTCTTTTTCTCCAGGGATTTTAATTTACTTCAGCATTCCCTCCCTTGGTCCTACCATGGACTTTGACAGTACCAATATCTGCAGCCCCTCCATATCCTCAGTTTCAAGCATCCCCCTCTTGGATCCCCACCTCTTATCTTTTCAGGGCATTCTTTCCAGCATCTTGCTTTAACAAACTTTAGATCTCCACTGGAACCTTCAATCTCTTTATTGTACTAACTTTACAATGTCCCTTACATCCCACTTGTCCTCCCTTTCCTTATTATCTATTTTAAGTTTCATGGTCAGTCATTTAATTACTCCCTTGCACTAATGTCTCTTCAACTCCCTAAATCTTCATTTCTTGCTTGAGAGTAATATTTTGGTAAAGACTCAACCCTGATTAAAATAAATTTTTCCACCTACTTTATGCCTATAACCATACAACTGAAGAAAAATGCTCAACCATGCTGACTAGTCTCACTTGAAACGCAGAATCATGAATCTCACATGGGTCCTTAAGGCCATCTGGCAATTGCACAGGTCTCTGGTTCTACTCTTCTGGACAAATATTTTGTACCTTATCTTCCTTCCTCAGACCTCCAACGTCTCTTCCTCTATATTATTGATTCCTATTTGTATTAGTTATCACTTTCCGTGTAATGAATTACCCCCGAATTTAACAAAACGTAATCTGTCTCAAACCGAATTCCCGATCTTCCTCCCAAACCTATTCTGTCTGCCATTTTCCCCATCTTAGTAAATGGTAATGGCAACTCCATCCTCTTAATTGCTCAGGACAAAATCACTAGAATTTTTCTTGACTCCTCTCTCTCTCCACACACATACACACACACACACTCTATATCCCACTTTCAACAGGTCCCAAAAGTCCTGCCTCCCAAATATATCCAGAATCCCAACTACTTCTCACCATCTTTACCACTACTTCTCTGATCTAAGACATTGTCATCTCCTATTCGGATTATTGGAATAGCCTCTTAATTGGCCTACTACTTATACTCCTGGCTCATTCAGTCTATTCTCAATACAGCATCTACAGTGATTTTTTAAAAATTTAAGTCACATTATGGCCTTCCTTTGCTCAAAACATGGGTGATTCCCCATCTCAATGCCTTTCCATGGCTTACAATGCTTTATATGACTGCCTACCCCCTAACTTTTGACTCCTACCCCAACACTCTCCCCCTCTCACTCTGTACCAGTCACACCAGCCTCCTTGCTGTTTCTCAGCTACTTTGGAGTGATTGTACTTGTTGTCCCCTCTACCTGAACACTTAACTCTCCTTTGAAGATTATGGTAGCTAGTTCCATTAGATTGCGGGAGTTTGCATTGGAGCCTTTGCTCAAAAGTACCTCAGTGGGGGCGCCTGGGGGCTCTGTTGGTTAAGTGTCTGACTTCAGCTCAGGTCATGATCTCAGGGTCCTGGGATGGCGCCCTATTCTCCTCCCCTCTGTCTGTGTTCTTTCTCTCAAATAAATAAATATTTTAAAAAAGCACTTCAGTGAAGCCTTCTCTAGTCATCCTATCTAAAAATTCATTTCCTCTCCCTGCAACACTCTTTATCGTCTCTGCTTACGCTACAATATTCATGAGCATCAGACACTTACTCACTCCTGTGTTTGGTTACTTATTACAAATTCCATGAACAAGGGGTCTTTGTTTTGTTCACTGCTATGTATTTCCAGTGCCCAGAACAGTAAGGGTGCATAAAAAGCTCTCAATTATATGTTAAATGAACGAATGGGTATTTCACAGGGATAATGGAAGTGTCCCAGAATTATAGCAGAGCTTGGAGCAATGAGGGTGACCGCTCGCGTGGCTGTTCAAATATAAGAATATGTATTAAATAGCCTTATAAATGTAACGAGGTGTACACAGACTAACTAAACTTAGCTTAGTTAGCTTAGTTTGTTCCTAGAGGAAGCCCTGCTAGGCCCACCTTCTTCCATCCTTTTCTCCTACTTCCCTCTGTTGGGACCCCTGTCCCTCCCAGTCACCGTTCTTCAGCTCAATGTAATCCCTTCCTGAAACACTTGAACTGGTCTCCGTGCTGGGGCTTCAACGGCACCAGCAGCCGACCACACCTCAGCCGGCGCCTTACCCAGCAGCCGCGCGAACCCACTCGTCCCGCCCAGTTTCCCGGGCCTTCATAAGTCCCGCCCCCTCAGCTAGAACGAAGCGGAAGTGACGTTTTTGCGGAGCCCGAAGTCCCGCCCCTCACGCTTGCCCAGCCCCGGGGAGGGGACGCAAGACCGGAAGGGGTGGCTACAAGGCCCCCGAAGGGCGGGGCGGGGCGGCCCTCCCCAACGTGGCGGTTTACTGGAAGCGGTTCCCTTAGTATCCGGAATAGTTTGAGTCTGTGGCGAGCGGCTCACCGGTACTGGGTCGGTGCTATCTTAGCAGGGGTGGGACCCCTGAGGCCTCAGAAACAGGCTTTTGTCTGGCCCGGGACTCCTCGGCGTCCAGCGCTTTCCCCCATAAACGGATACCGGTCATTTGGACTCTGCCTCTGGCTCAGGTTCCCACCCCACCCTACCAGGCCCCTTTCCTTCTGGCTGCTGCGGTCGTTCCTGCCTTTCCTCGCGGTGCCACCGGTGGGCACCGTCTTCGTTCTCTCAGTAGATCCCTTTTTCTCGCCCTCTCATCCCCATTCTTTCCAGAAGGCAGTCTTTATACTCTTCCTTTTTATTTCTTCCCACTTCTCTCCCCTTCTTTCCTCTTTCCTTCCTTCTCCAGCATTCTCGTTCTTCGACTGCCTGTCAGGCTACTGCCTCCTGCAAGGCTTCTCTCCCTTTCTGGAGCCTGTGCTCATGGCTCAGGAGGTTGAGCTTTTAGCGCAGTCGTTTGAAGATGTTAAGCTTCTCTTTTCTCCTGCCCAGGAGTCACAGATGCCAGGAAGTATGGCCCCCCTCAAGAAGCCTCGAAATACCACAAGGGTGCCTCTGGCTTTAAACCCCCTGAAGAGCAAGGACGTGTTGGCCGTGCTGGCTGAGAGGAACCAGGCTATAATGCCAGTTGGGGCATGGGTGGAACCTGCCTTGCCAGATAGTTCGGAGGTCCCAGCATATGTGAGTGTCAGTTTGATGCAAATGTAGTGGGGTTGCTCCCCCATTTTTCTTTTTCCTTTCTTTCTCTCCCCCTCCCCCCATATTAGCCTTCTGTAATCCCTGGTGCTTAGATAAAGATGAACAGTCCTTTCTGGGGTTGTCCTTTCTTTTCTGTTATAAATAGGTACGTTCTTGAATTAGGATTGTAGAACAAACACCTGTTTGCCAAAACTGTTCATTTCACAAACTCTTGATCGCTTGCTATGCACAAGACATACGCACTATCTATATCTTGCAGACACCCTACAACATAGTAGGGGTGACAGTTGCTACACTTAAGCATTAATTGATTGCTTGAAGTTAAGAGTGTAGTAGAGATTCAGTAAGATTCAGACACAGAATAAGGAAAGAACAGATTAATTCTGACTGGGATTCTGAGAAAGTTTATAAATTTCATGAGGACAGGGGACTTTATTTTTTGTTCATTTCTGTCCTGTCATATAGTAAGTCTTAAGGAAATACTCAAAAAATGGATGTGGAAATGTAGTCTATGTTCGTCCTTAAAAAATGGAAATGTTGTAAGTGCAGATCGTAGGGAACAGCATTTCAGATGAAGGGAAACTTCTGCGAAGTTTACATGTGTGCCTGTTTACATAATAACTCATGTGCTAATTGACACAGGAGGACAGTTTTGTAAGAATATTTCTGATAGTCTTTCACTAAACTGTGCCTCTTAGCTATTTGTTGGAATTTTATTGTGGCATTTACCACATTATATTTGTAGTAAGTTGTTTACATATCTACTTTTCCTGATGGAGTGTGAACTTCCAGAGCACAGGAAAAAAATCTTATTTATTATCATGCCCCCGACTTTATCTTAGTGCCTAATAAATGGAATGCACAAATTGTGGGAAGGTTCTTCTGAATGTATCGACAACATGCTGAACATAAGATGAAAAATATGAGTGGTCCTTGATCTCAGAGAAGAAATGAGACATGTTTAAAGTAAATCTTAAATAGCGAAGCAATATCATATATTCATTAATTTTATTTTTTGTATGTGAATATGTATGTACATACATATTCATTTATTCCTCTTCTGCCTATTTCCAGAAAGGATTTTAAGTATCTGAGTAGTATATGATTAAGTGCTATGACTATGATACTTAAAGAAGAAAGATAGGACTTTGGGTTGATGTGATACAGGCAAGTTTAATGAAGAATTTAGATAGAGAAGGAGGATGATTCAAGAAGAATGGGGAGAGGGCGCCTGGGTGGCTCAGTTGGTTAAGCGACTGCCTTCGGCTCAGGTCATGATCCTGGAGTCCCGGGATCGAGTCCCGCATCGGGCTCCCTGCTCAGCGGGGGGTCTGCTTCTCCCTCTGCCCTTTTCCCTCTCCTGCTCTCTGTCTCTCATTCTCTCTCAAATAAATAAATAAAATCTTTAAAAAAAAAAAAAAAGAAGAATGGGGAGAGTGGGAAGTGAGCGAGGTGTATCAGGATTCTAAGGGTAGATTAGATTGATTGGAGTGGGAAGCTTAGTAGGGGGATGGTGGCTGATAGAACTGTGGAAAATAGGAGCTGTAGGGAACCACAGGAAATGGAGAAGGGATTGACTTCATTCATTGTTTAATATTTACAGATGAATTTCATAATAAAACAGTGTTCTGATTAGGTTAATTGCTTCAAAACTTTTTTGAAGTGAGGGATAGATTGGCTCCTGGGGGACAAATTAGGATGTAATCGTAACAATTTAGCCATGAAGTATAGCATCAAGACTTGTTTAATGGTAAGGAATAAAGAGGGAAAGCCTTGAGAAAGGGTGGTTGAAGTAGGAATGAAGAGGGATAAATGTCTTATATTTATCCCAGAAGAATCAGTAAGATTTGGTACAAAGGTATTTTGGTATTTAAGTTAGTGACTCCTCTTTTTCATTGCTCAAATAATGACATCTTTGTAATGTAGCATCAAAATGCCTAAAAACCACCAAATTTTTCTTTTTCTATGTGAAAGAGAATTGAATTTCATGTTCCCAAACACTAAATGGAAATACTAGTCTTGGAAAAAATATAAACATGTCTCCTTTCCCTCATTTAAAAAATTTTGATCAGTACCAGTCAAAGTCAATCTGATCAAGCATCTCATAGAACTCTTTACCGATTTAGTATGTATGGACTGGGGAATCCACCCTTAACAGATGCAGTCTTGTCAGCTCAGAATAAATGCTGAATAGTTACTTCTAAAGCATGGTAGACCTAATATCATGCCTATTCTAAAGGGAAGCTCCTAATCATTTTTGTCCCCAAAGTTTCAAGGAGCTGTCAAGATTCCTAAAAATACCGTAACTTCAGACCTCCCTCCCCTTCCATTAATTAAATTAGCACCGAAAGACACTGCTGTTCTATCAGCATTCATGGCTATTGCATTATTTTATAATTTATCTGATTATCTATTGTTGTGTAACAAACCTGGATCTTAGTGGCATAAAGCAAAAGATACTGTGTGTCAGGATTTCAAGCAGGGCACAATGGGGATGGCTTGTCTGCAACATGGTGTCTGAAGCTTCAGTTGGGACAGCTAAAATGGCTGGGGATGTCTGGGACAAGTTTACTGGGTTCTGGCTGTTGGTTGGATTTCTTTGTCCTTCATCTGGCATCTGTTGGGCTGTAAAGTCCAAGATGGCTTTCTCACTCACATAACTGGCACTTGGGCTAGGATGACTAGAATGGCTAGGAGCTTGCTGGAAGATTTCTCTTTCCACACGGCCTCTCTACTTGGCTAGCTTGGGCTTCCTTTCAGCATGGTAGTCTTAGGGTAGAATTCTTACATGGTGGCTGGTTTCCTTAGGGTGAGCATTCCAAGAGCTATAGGTGGAAGTTGCTTTATGCCCTTGCTGGAGAAGTCATGGAGCCAATGCTTCTTCCTCTTTTTGGATATACAGAGCCAGACTACATTCAGTATGGGAAATGACTACACAAGGGCATAAATACTGGGAGACTTGATTCATTGTGGGGAGAAGGGGAGATCATCCTTGGAGACTACTGTGTAATCTAAATATCAGTCCCATCATATGTGAATTATCCAAAAATGTTCTTTGGTTGTTGTGAGAAACACTTCATCCTATCTTGCCCACTTGGATAGTCCTTAAGGTTCAAAAAGTCTACGAGGAGTTAGTTGTACAATTGAAACAGTATTTATTTTTGCTTAACCCAGTATTTCTCAAATTTATTTGACTCTGAGAATCTCCTAACATTCCAGAACATGGGACAATGTTCTTGGGTTTTGGTGGCCTTAAACAATGGTGTTTGCTAAGAAAAATATGTTTCTAAAATATGGCACATTCTTATGTTTGGCTTACAGTTGAGATTCACAATTTGGAATCAGTCATATACTTCAGTAAGATGTTTGATAATCTCAGCATGGGGGTAAAGAGAGGGCAGACAGATAGTGGAAGTAAAAAAAGGAAGGATGGCTTTAATCTTCTGGGAGTTGAGTTAATTTCGGTCAGTTGTTCAGGCTTTACTATCTATATCTCTCCTTTGGAATTATTTTACCTAATTGTTCTTTGATATTTGTTTTGTACACTCTACGCCTATGGTATATACTCGTATAGAATATGGGGTAGATTTCTTGGAAAATTTAATTTTAATTGGAATTTAAGTTCATTTGATTTTGAGAGTTAATGACCTCCTATGAAATATTTGGGCACCTTCTGAACTAGAATTTGGAATCACTGTGTTAGAAGAAGGGCTCAATAGGAGTATGATTTTATTTAATTTGAAGATTCCTTTTGAAAGAGAAACACAGTCGAGAGAAAAACAGTACAGTATAGGGCATACATATTGGAGTCAGAGAAACTTCTAGCTCTGCTACTTGCCAGCCATAGACTCTTTGGCTACTACTAAAGATTAATCTTTCTGAGCCCCAGTTTCTTCATCTTTAATATAAGAGATAAGAATACCTTCTGTTGGAGGTAGTGTTGGGGATTCAGTGATAAAATGTAGTTAAAGTGCTTGTCTTGTAGCAGATCTTTAATAATGGTAACTGCTTTTAATTATGATGACTATGGTTGTTATTCAGAGCACTCAGAGGAAGTGAATACTGATCAGGGACTCAAATGGGATAAAATATTCTAGATTGTTTAGAATATGTTTTGGAATTGAGCATTACATAAATATTGAGTATCTTTATATTCAAGGCTCTGTGTTACATATTGTAGGGGAAACAAAGGAGAGTTAAAGACATTTCCTGTCCTCAAGGTGTACCTAACCTAATGGGGGATTTGAGAAGTGTTGCTCTCAATTAATGTTAATAAGAATGAGAGGTATTATAGCATAGGAGAGCTCAGAAGAAGAAGGGATTGTGGAAGGTCCTAGGTGGTGGGTATTAGATGGTCTTAAAGAATGAGTAAGCCTTTACCTTACTAGATAGAGATGACAGGAAGAGCATGCTATGTTAAAAATGGAGCATAAATCTGAGTGTGAAGGCATTTTATAATAGGACGTATTTAGTGAGTGGTGAGCAATTTTAGAAAATGTGTGACATAAGATAGGTTTGAATTGGTTCATTAAGAATTAATGAAGACAACTTTAGTTATCAGTTCAATGAAAAATTAAGATTTTATTTGAGTGCTCACAAATTCCAATTTTTAGTTTGTGATTTGGTTTGAGTTCTTGGTACTCACCAGCAATGTCTAGATTATCAGCTCTGAACTCCTGTGATTTCCTTACTCTACTGGGAATTCTGGATTATAGAACTGAATTATTTTGTCAGGATTTTATCTTGACTGATTTGTGCTTACAGCAGAGCCCTAGTGGGCAAAAACTGCTAACATTTAAGTTTATTTTCTGTCTTTCATCTTTCAAGACTTCAGCATATATGATTGAAGAAGAACTAAAGGAACAGCTAAGAAAAAAACAAGAAGCTCTGAAGCATTTTCAGAGACAAGTCAAACACCGAGTAAATCAGCAAATCAGGCTGAGAAAAAAGCAACAGTTTCAGAGATCTTATGAAGCAGTAAGTTCAAAAGTGAACCTGAGTAAAGATTGAATGTGAAGTGTGTGTTATGAGATAAGCTGTTAGACAGTTACAGACTCACTTTCTTTGGATTTCATGCTTTGTATAATTGCTAGGGAGGGCGGTAGATTTGTATGTTTTATTCTTGTGTTGTTCTGACTCACAAGAATTTTTTTTTGCTCTCACCAATAGTATAAAACAATGTCAGAATTTTGGATTTGGGTTTGAATTTTGGCTTTGCTGCTTGCTAGCTATGTGACCTTGGGTTTATTACTTACCCTCTGTGGACTGTAGTTTCTTGATCTATAAAATTGGGGCTATGATACTTGTCTCACAATGTTGTTATGATAATTAGATAAGTAAATTATTAGCACATAGTAGGTGCCTGGTAAATGTTAGTTTCTTTGCCTGTTAAAACTTTCCCCTTTATACCCCTGATCCTGATTTAAAATCTTTGGGGCTGCTTATAGACATTATTTGATTATAATGGCTTGGAGTAGAACCTCACTAGAAGAATCTCACTTTCTTCCTTTGTGTAGGCAGAAAAAGAAGGCTCTATAGCCATGCAGTCTTCAGATCCAGCACATTTAACTCCTAAAAGAACAAGTGTTTTTCCAAGCAACTTGAATGCTGCTATTGGAAGTGCTAGGTTACCTCCTTCCCAGATGCTTGGGGATGGAATGGATGACAGAGAGAATCAGAACGAATTATTCCAACAACAAGCCCAGGCTGTAAGTACATATTCATTTTATGTCTATGATTTTTTTTTTTAGATACAGGACATATCTAGGATATGAAGTAGAGATTAGGAGGTATCACATTCAACTTCACTTTTACTTTTTTTACCTTTGTAAGTGGTGAATAGTGAAATGATGTTTATTTTTTATACATATTTTAAATTTATTTATTTTTGGCAAGACAGTTTAGAATCATCTAAAGGAAGGTGCCAAAGTGTAAGAGTCAAACCTTATGAGAAAGAGCTTTAGGTCAAAGAACAGATTTTTTTTCCCCCCAATTATACTGGAATTGTGTTATGGGTAAATTATTCTCTTTGTAGCATATGGACAGAACTGATTCCTAACCTCTGTTGCAAATAGGTACAGTACATGTATGGGGCATTTCATTCATTATTTTTGTCTCTTTTTCCTTTTTTCTGTCCTTTAATCTGATTTTCATAATAAATAGATCTATAGGTCAAGTAATAATATAGTAAACTCTCAACATAATCAGAATTTTAAAATGTAACATATCTAGTAATTGATTTTACATATCTGTTATTTATTTATTAAAGATTTATTTATTTATTTTAGAGAGAGAGAGCGTAGGGGGAGGGCAGAGGGGGAGAGAGAGAGGATCTCAACCAGACTCTGTGCCGAGCACGGAGCCTGATGTGGAGCTCGATCTCCCGTGACCTGAGTCGAAACCAAGAGTCGGACACTTAACTGACTGAGTCACCCAGGCGCCCCTTGCGTATCTGTTATTTAAAAATTAACTACCATCGTTAGGTTCATACACTCAAATCACTTGTCACCATGCACTCAACTCTCCTTAGTGTACATGAGCTTTTTGTCCAGTCAATATCCTATTCTTCAACTCTGCTATGGGAATTATACTTCATCTTATTTATTTATTTATTTATTTTTATTTTATTCTTATGTTAATCCCCATACATTACATCATTAGTTTTAGATGAAGTGTTCCATGATTCATTGTTTGTGCACAACACCCAGTGCTCCATGTAGAATGTGCCCTCCTCAATACCCACCACCAGGCTAACCCATCCTCCCACCCCCCTCCCCTCTAGAACCCTCAGTTTGTTTTTCAGAGTCTATCGTCTCTCATGGTTCGTCTACCCCTCCGATTTCCCCCGCTTCATTCTTCCCCTCCCACTACCTTCTTCTTCTTTTTTTTTTTCTTAACATATATTGCATTATTTGTTTCAGAGGTACAGATCTGATATTCAACGGTCTTGCACAATTCACAGCGCTTACCAGAGCACACACCCTCCCCAGTGTCCATCACCCAGTCACCCCATCCCTCCCACCCCACCCCCCACTCCAACAACACTCAGTTTGTTTCCTGCGATTAAGAATTCCTCATATCAGTGAGATCATATGATACATGTCTTTCTCTGTTTGACTTATTTCACTCAACATGATACCCTCCAGTTCCATCCACGTCGTTGCAAATGGCAAGATCTCATTCCTTTTGATGGCTGCATAATATGCCATTGTATATATATACCACATCTTCTTTATCCATTCATCTGTCGATGGACATCTTGGCTCTTTCCACAGTTTGGCTATTGTGGACATTGCTCCTATAAACATCGGGGTGCACGTAGCCCTTCGGATCCCTACTTTTGTATCTTTGGGGTAAATACCCAGTAGTGCAATTGCTGGATCATATGGTATCTCTATTTTCAACTTTTTGAGGAACCTCCATACAGTTTTCCAGAGTGGCTGCATCAGCTTGCATTCCCACCAACAGTGTAGGAGGGTTCCCCTTTCTCCGCATCCCCGCCAACATCTGTCATTTCCTGACTTGTTAATTTTAGCCATTCTGACTGGTGTGAGGTGGTATCTCATTGAGGTTTTGATTTGGATTTCCCTGATGCTGAGCGATATTGAGCACTTTTTCATGTGTCTGTTGGCCATTTGGATGTCTTCTTTGGAAAAATGTCTGTTCATGTCTTCTGCCCATTTCTTGATTGGATTCTTTGTTCTTTGGGTGTTGAGTTTGATGAGTTCTTTATAGATTTTGGATACTAGCCCTTTATCTGATATGTCATTTGCAAATATCTTCTCCCATTCTGTCGGTTGTCTTTTGGTTTTGTTGACTGTTTCCTTTGTTTTGCAAAAGCTTTTTATCTTGATGAAGTCCCAATAGTTCATTTTTGCCCTTGCTTCCCTTGCCTTTGGCGATGTTTCTAGGAAGAAGTTGCTTCGGCTGAGGTCAAAGAGGTTGCTGCCTGTGTTCTCCTTTAGGATTTGTATGGACTCCTGTCTCACATTGAGGTCTTTCAACCATTTGGAGTCTATTTTTGTGTGTGGTGTAAGGAAATGGTCCAGTTTCATTCTTCTGCATGTGGCTATCCAATTTTCCCAACACCATTTGTTGAAGAGACTGTCTTTGTTCCATTGGACATTCTTTCCTGCTTTGTCGAAGATTAGTTGACCATAGAGTTGAGGGTCCATTTCTGGGCTCTCTATTCTGTTCCATTGATCTATGTGTCTGTTTTTGTGCCAGTACCATGCTGTCTTGATGATGACAGCTTTGTAATAGAGCTTGAATTCCGGAATTGGGATGCCGCCGGCTTTGCTTTTCTTTTTCAATATTCCTCTGGCTATGCGGGGTCTTTTCTGGTTCCATACAAATTTTAGGATTATTTGTTCCATTTCTTTGAAAAAAGTGGATGGTATTTTGATGGGGATTGCATTAAATGTGTAGATTGCTCTAGGTAGCATTGACATCTTCACAATATTTGTTCTTCCAATCCATGAGCATGGAACGTTTTTCCATTTCTTTGTGTCTTCCTCAATTTCTTTCATGAGTATTTTATAGTTTTCTGAGTACAGATCCTTTGTCTCTTTGGTTAGATTTATTCCTAGGTATCTTATGGTTTTGGGTGCAATTGTAAATGGGATCGACTCCTTAATTTCTCTTTCTTCTGTCTTGTTGTTGGTATATAGGAATGCCACTGACTTCTGTGCATTGATTTTATATCCTGCCACTTTACTGAATTCCTGTATGAGTTCTAGCAGTTTTGGGGTGGAGTCTTTTGGGTTTTCCACATAAAGTATCATATCATCTGCAAAGAGTGAGAGTTTGACTTCTTCTTTGCCAGTTTGGATGCCTTTGATTTCTTTTTGTTGTCTGATTGCTGTGGCTAGGACTTCCAATACTATGTTGAATAGCAGTGGTGATAGTGGACATCCCTGCCGCGTTCCTGACCTTAGGGGGAAAGCTCTCAGTTTTTCCCCATTGAGAATAATATTTGCTGTAGGTTTTTCATAGATGGCTTTTATGATATTGAGGTATGTACCCTCTATCCCTATACTCTGAAGAGTTTTGATCAAGAAAGGATGCTGTACTTTGTCAAAAGCTTTTTCTGCATCTATTGAGAGGATCATATGATTCTTGTCCTTTCTTTTGTTAAGGTATTGTATCACGTTGATTGATTTGCGGATGTTGAACCAACCTTGCAGCCCAGGGATAAATCCCACTTGGTCATGGTGAATAATCCTTTTAATGTACTGTTGGATCCTATTGGCTAGTATTTTGGTGAGAATTTTTGCACCCATGTTCATCAGGGATATTGGTCTGTAATTCTCCTTTTTGATGGGGTCTTTGTCTGGTTTGGGGATCAAGGTAATGGTGGCCTCATAAAGTGAGTTTGGAAGTTTTCCTTCCGTTTCTATTTTTTGGAACAGTTTCAGAAGAATAGGTATTAATTCTTCTTGAAATGTTTGGTAGAATTCCCCTGGGAAGCCATCTGGCCCTGGGCTTTTGTTTTTTGGGAGATTTTTGATGACTGCTTCAATTTCCTTAGTGGCTATAGGTCTGTTCAGGTTTTCTATTTCTTCCTGGTTCAGTTTTGGTAGTTGATACATCTCTAGGAATGCATCCATCTCTTCCAGGTTATCTAATTTGCTGGCATAGAGTTGCTCATAATATGTTCTTATAATTGTTTGTATTTCTTTGGTGTTGGTTGTGATCTCTCCTCTTTCATTCATGATTTTGTTGATTTGGGTCATTTCTCTTCTCTTTTTGATAAGTCTGGCCAGGGGTTTATCAATCTTGTTAATTCTTTCAAAGAACCAGCACCTAGTTTCATTGATCTGTTCTACTGTTCTTTTAGTTTCTATTTCATTGATTTCTGCTCTGATCTTTATTATTTCTCTTCTCCTGCTGGGTTTAGGCTTTATTTGCTGTTCTTTCTCCAGCTCCTTTAGGTGTAGGGTTAGGTTGTGTACTTGAGACCTTTCTTGTTTCTTGAGAAAGGCTTGTATTTCTATATACTTTCCTCTTAGGACTGCCTTTGCTGCATCCCAAAGATTTTGAACAGTTGTGTTTTCATTTTCATTGGTTTCCATGTATTTTTTTAATTCTTCTTTAATTTCCTGGTTGACCCATTCATTCTTCAGTAGGATGCTCTTTAGCCTCCATGTATTTGAGTTCTTTCCGACTTTCCTCTTGTGATTGAGTTCTAGTTTCAAAGCATTGTGGTCTGAAAATAGGCAGGGAATGATCCCAATCTTTTGGTACCGGTTGAGACCTGATTTATGACCTAGGATGTGATCTATTCTGGAGAATGTTCCATGGGCACTAGAGAAGAATGTGTATTCCGTTGCTTTGGGGTGGAATGTTCTGAATATGTCTGTGAAATCCATTTGGTCCAGTGTGTCATTTAAAGTCTTTATTTCCTTGTTGATCTTTTGCTTAGACGATCTGTCCATTTCAGTGAGGGGGATGTTAAAGTCCCCCACTATTATTGTATTGTTGTCGATGTGTTTCTTTGCTTTTGTTATTAATTGCCTTATATAATTGGCTGCTCCCATGTTAGGGGCATAGATTTTTACAATTGTTAAATCTTCTTGTTGGATAGATCCTTTAAGTATGATATAGTGTCCTTCCTCATCTCTTATTACAGTCTTTGGTTTAAAACCTAATTTGTCTGATATAAGGATTGCCACCCCAGCTTTCTTTTGGTGTCCATTAGCATGGTAAA